GGATTTCTCCTTCTGCCTGGCTCCTGAGCTAGTGGGGACGCTGTCTGCTCTGTGGTACAGAGTCCTGATGACTCCTAACTTGTGCTCCAAAGGGTGATGGGAGTCAAACTGCAAATACTGGTCTGTGTGGGTGGGTTTGTGGTACACCTCAGTTTGCAAATGTCCTCTATCAGAGACTGAGACCTCACAGTCCAAGAAAGCCAACTTACCATTTTTTACATCTTCTCGTGTGAACTTGATGTATTTATCCACAGAGTTGATGTGGTCAGTAAAATGTTGGACTTCCTGAGATTTAATTTTAACCCAGGTGTCGTCAACATACCTGAACCAATGACTTGGTGGTGTCCCTGAAAAGGACGTCAAGGCTCTCTTTTCTACCTCCTCCATGTACAGGTTGGCAACAATAGGAGAAACTGGAGACCCCATAGCACACCCATGTTTCTGCCTATAATATTGCTCCCCATATGTGAAGTAGGTTGACTGCAGGCACAGTTTCAAGAGTTGACACAGTTGTTCTGTGGAAAGTGTGGTCCTGCTGCTCAGAGTGGTGTCTGATTTTAATCTTAAACTGACCACCTCTACTGCATCATCAACAGGAATGCACGTAAAGAGTGATGTGACATCAAAAGAGACCATTGTTTCATCAGTCTCCATGATGACATCCCTCACCTTATCCACAAAGTCCATGGTGTTCTGTATGTGGTGTTCTGAGCTGCCAACTAAAGGGATGAGTACAGACGCCAGATATTTGGAAACATTGTTCTACCTGGATTATTGAGCATGCATCAGGATACTGGTAATTTAAGTTACATAATTTTATGCACTCCTATATTTGTTCCTATTTTTGGTATAAATATAAAATTAATCAAAAATATTTGATACAGTAAATAATCTAAAATTGTTTTAAATAAATGTTCTATTTGTTTACATTGTTTAATCTTTTCATCTTTTTAATTATATAATTTAAACAACATTTTTGAGTGTTGCAATATAAAAACAGTTTCTGAATGAAAACATGATTTTGAATTGAATGTCCAGACACAAAGATGCACACCCCTGGTTCAGAAGATGTACACCCCTGGTTCAGAAGATGCACACCCCTGGTTCAGAAGATGCACACCCCTGGTTCAGAAGATGCACACCCCTGGTTCAGAAGATGCACACCCCTGGTTCAGAAGATGCACACCCATGGTTCAGAAGATGCACACCCCTGGTTCAGAAGATGCACACCCCTGGTTCAGAAGGTTAAAAACATGGTTGAAAGACAAAATCATGTTATGCAGCAACAAACTCAATCTTGGAGGTAAAAGTCGTCTAAATTCATCCACTGAATGTTTCAGAGCAGATCTATAAAAAATATTGAAATTATGTCATTTATGGACTATTGAGTGCACCCAAATATAAGCTGCACCCACTACATTTAAAAACAATATTAATTTTGTAGATAAATAGGCCACACTTGTGTATAAGCCACATGTGTCCATGTTGTACCATGAGATACTTGCACAGAAAGATTCTTTTGACTTTTGATTAAAAACATACCGGTCACATACACAAATACGTACAACAAATGTTTTTTTCTGAACAGTGCCAGTAACACGTCTGGTCAAAATAAAATATGGTAGCCTAGCAGGAAGTCATCGATCACCATCTTTATGGATTTGTGTTTAGGTGCTGCTGTCAGCATCCACTGCACACCGGAGACCAAGCAGCTCTTTGCATGCCGCCAGCTTTGGTCAACGACTTCTCACCACCAGTCATCCAAGCCTCCCACCGACCTTCCTGTGTCACTTTAATACACGAGTCACACTGACATCGAGTGGCTGCAAAGGGGCACAACTCCCCCTCCCTGTTCTCTCCTCCACGCCTCGTTTCATTGGTCCACCGTGACCCGTTTGGTAATTTCATCCATCAGATTTTTTTACCTTTATTCATACAGGTGGTCTCATTGAGTCATTGCAGATCATGTCCGATCGTTTCCAGTTTCCATGTGGATGTTCATCGTTCCAACCTTTCATTGAGTTTGTTTGATTCAACTGGATTAATTTTCATATTTAAATCACTTCTTGGTCTGCTGCCTTCATACATCTCCTCCTACATGTCTCTGTGTGAGTGCAGCTACAGCGTGCGCTCTCAGGACATCATTACCTGCAGTGTTCCCTCAGTGAGGACTGAACTAGACAAAAGGACCTTCTCCTACTCCGCTCCTGTTTCCTGGAACATCTTGTAAAAAGACCTGAAGCTCTCCACCTTCAAACATCTGACGTGTTTGTTTTTACGTTTCTACATGGCTTTACAACCTAGCTGTTAATATTTGTTTTAATATCACGTTCTCTCCTTTGTTCCACTGAGCGCGCATGTTTTTATGATTTAAATCAGGTGTCTCTAAACGAGCCCGAGGCTCAGAGGGACTCACCTGTACAACAAGAACAAGCTAGCTGACAGACACTGACTCACAAGCACGGGAACACGAACATTCACAAATACTTACAAGACTCCGTCACACTGCGTCATTTTGGTTTCTGGTTCAAACAGTTCTGATTAACGGAGAGCTCGTGCAGTCAACCCACGTGAAGAAAACACCGATTGGAGACTGCGTCCGGTTGTTCTTCTTCTGCGGTGCAGAAAGGTACAACGGTTTCCTGTCATTTTGCTTTGAGCGCCATCTAGTGTCCGAGCCACGCCACAGTCAGCAAGGCTGTGGAAGACACCACTCTGGATTTATCACCGGACATTCATTCACTCACTCATTCACTCATTCATTCAGTCATTCACTCATTCATTCAGTCATTCACTCATTCATTCAGTCATTCAGTCATTCATTCAGTCATTCATTCAGTCATTCAGTCATTCATTCAGTCATTCAGTCATTCATTCAGTCATTCATTCAGTCATTGATTCATTTTGAAAAACCCTCCTGGATGACATAGTCATTCATAAATCACAAGGTATGAAGCCATGATTGTTTTATTGGCAGAGGAGAAAAAAAACTTTTTATGGAAATTTAAAGAAATTCTTACAGGTTTCAAATGACTACATGAGCTGCAAAATTTAAATTAAAATCCCTTCAAATAAAACAGTCAATTTACAGCAGAAGTCTGTCAACGTGCCAATAAAAAAATGCCTTTTTTAAGTTATTTGTGCTGCGCAAAGGACTACCTGCAACACATGTCAAGAGTGCTTACAGGAGGCAAAGAGCTGAGGAGGCAGGGAGATGAAATCATGACATGCTGTCTCTTTTACACAGTTTACAAACATTGTTTACAATACTGAAAGAGTGTGGGAAGGGTTTAAAATGCCTGTATATGTGTATA